AGTAGCTTTCTAGCTCTTGTGTCAGGGCGCTGTGTTATTGGAATTTTTTTAATGAGGTCTTCCACTGCTCTAACTACTTCTATCGTCGCATAGTTGACATGGGCTATGTCCAGTAATGGCCACTTCTAAGTGTTTTAGTCCTTTATAAAACAGAACTGTGTAGCCATTTATGTAGACTTTGTTTTCACATTTTTTCTGCCATTTAACAGAGCAGGCTCGGTCTTTCAAAGCCTACTTTGAGTTAGTGCTTCCTGATCTAGTTTATGATTATATTTATAGTATTATCAGTTTTCACGTTGGGTTCGATCTTATCTCTGACTATGATCACCGATTCCGCAAAGGCTACTATTAATACCCCGTTCAGGTATTTTTAGTTTAAGATATCGTCGTATATTACATTCCACAGTAGCGGTCTTAATCGTTGCGTGACCCCGTGCTCATTTAATACGTATTACCATAACGCACTATAAATCTCTCCTACCTAAGTAGTTATTTATGTAGCTAAAGGCAATGCGAATATCTTAATGCTGCGCCTTTTCCTTCTCCATCTGCCTTTTATTTTTTGTTTTGCCAGACCTATAAGCTTTTCGACGGTGTCGATTGTGAACAAGCCTCAAATGTGTTTTTTAGTTTTCAGTCATGGGTCTGTTTGCTATAATGTTCCACAACCTTATTTATTGAATTAAGTAGACAAATTTTGTAGACAACGTTTTGTAGACGTTTTGATGTATGAAATTGATTTTCTCATCCCGCTAGTATTTCTGCTCATATTAATTATGTCTAACAAAAGGTACGGGGAAAAATTTATTTTGAAAAGGGATCTTCAAAATGGTGGCTGGTTAATAAGGTGATGCGAGAGGCTTAGTTTCGTGTTTTGAACCTTCCACTCTGCAATTTTCCTAGTTGTCGTTAGTGTGCCCATTGTCGCATTAATCAATTTTGTGAAAGTTAGGGAACCATCATTGACTGTGCACCAATTTTTCTGTTGTTGATAAAAAATCGAATGTGCATTGATGTCTTCGTATAAACTTACATAATTGCTTCTATCTAGGTTCTACCGCAGGAACTTGGTCATTTTGTTATGTTTTAATGCCGTTCTTGTTTTTAGCCGTATCCCTGAGTCCGATTTTATATACCAGGTACTTGCTACTTGCAGGTAATAAGCTGTTAGCTTAGTGTCCAAAAGTTTCGCGATGGAAGAAGTTTACCACTTTCATGCATTGCTTGAAGTGATGACACCTACTTTTGTATTTAAAACACATTGTATGTTTTGCAAGCAGTTACCATTAAGTTGCATAGATCGCGAATAATAATGCGATTTTATTTATCCGATCACGCGTTCATCGCGTCCAATTTTGAACTTTCCTCAACTGAGGAAATTGTCCGCTATATTTTAGTTCGTTATTATGATTGCAGTTTATATTCCGTTGGAATCTTGTCCAAGTTTCTGTATTTTCGGCGGCAGCTGCCTCTAGATCATCAGTTGTCATTTTTTGTGGCCAACTTAACTATTGGATCCGCTAAGCTCATAACTGTGCTAACAAACTTTTTTTTTTTTTACAAAGTACGTGCACCTTCCTTAATCAGTAGATGGAGTTTGACGTTTTCTGATGAAGAAATTTTCTCTATTTCAATGTCCAAGTGTGTGGAGCAGAATGTGGCCCTTATATTTGGCAGGACCTGAGGGCATGGTTGTTCTTGACTGTCTGTGGCTATTGTAATCAATCTGTTTTCGTGTCTCAAACCCTAGCTGGACGACTTCAACACTAGACCCAAAATATCTGTCGAAAGAGTAATTGGCATAAAAGAGAAGGTTGAAATGGGTGATCACGAATACATAATAAATTAATTTGGTGCTAGCATCTAAGCAAAGCGCTGTACTTTGAGACAAAACATCAAAGTTCCAACCTTATAAATTACAGCATACGTGAGGCTAATACTTCGCGATATCAGAGAAGATATGACAGAAATTCGATTTTTTGTCTTTACAAACATTAACCCGTTACGATTTTATATTGTTGAAATATCTGAGTACATGTATTTATATAGTTCGAAAAAATTTCACAACTTCTAACAATATCATTGGCATCCAAAAAGTCGCTTACAACTTAATCTTTTTAATTTTTCAACTTCATTATTATGCGTTTTTGTTGAACAAAAGAACCATATAAAGCACTACCTTAGGGGAGGTTCTGATGCGGACATTGCATTTTAAAGAAAGCTGTTTGTCATCTTAAGAAATAATGTTTTTTGGCTTAGCGTATCACGTGATACTCCAGAGGATGCTTACTGTATGTTCCAAAACAGTTAATTTAGTAACAGCGCTGTAAATGATATCGGCAACTCAAGATGGCCAGCCACGAAAAAGACACAAAATAGATTAGTCATAATGGAGGCACGTGTCCCTGTAATGGTGCATAATGTTAACGTATTTGCTTGCTAACTCTGAGGACGTAACACGCTTCTTTTGACGCTGGGAGCGAACCATCGAAAGCAATACTAATACTAGTGCCAAACGCAAAAAACTCCATATATATTTATTTCGCATCGAGAAGCAGCTAAATTATGATCAGGATCAGCCAGGGATGCAAATAAAGCAAAAAATTAGAATTTTGAAACTATGGATACACTAAGCCATGTCGATATCGTCCGAATACCCTGTGAAGGTTAACTGTTTTAACATACGTCTGAATTTTCCATAAGTGCTAACCGATGGTTCATTAAATAAAAATGTTGAAATGAAAGGAGACATCAGTCGAGGACAAATTATCTTTATGGAGGTTGGCATGCTTATTGCATGAAAGATTCCGGTATCAGGACTCTCTTCAGTTGGTTAATCAAATATTATTACGCCTGCTTAAATTGTGCACTAACGTTGTTATTACTAACTTGATGGGCGTAGGAAACCTCGGTTTAACATCTTTCAATTTCGTTTCAAGTGTCCTCCAATTTAATTCCTCGTACTTTTTCTATTGTTTCTTCACTATATTAGCTGCACTCGTTGTAAAAGCTTTTTTATTTTCGAATCATAAAATTCTCAGAGTTTAAGGAAAAGCACGGGAAAAGACATTTTATTAATTCATACATGATGGCTTTGAAGGTCCTGCAGCGCAGGGCCTGTCTTATCGTTTACAACAGTGTATGCACCTGGAGCTGTAATAAATTCTGTATAGAAATTAGAGCAATTTCCGTCAGTGTTGGCAGACAGCTTGCATCACAGATGTCAAGGAGACACGTTACCAGTATGACTATCCATTGATAACTCCAGCGTCAGCAAGCAGCGACGGATTAGATAGGTAGCGTCGACAAAAACTGCGAAACTTTAGATTGAGGCTGAACGCATTTTTGGGGAAGAAAACAGCGTATTAAAAATCAGGCTTCGGCTGAATGTGCTTGATTGTGACATCAAAACTTTAAGCTTATTTACGTCCTGCTCAATAGAGAGTGGCAGATTTTAAACGCATTTATAAGTTTATTTGAATGTATGTCACACGGTATACAAACAAATATGCACCTCGTGCAGTTAATATGAAGGGTAGCTTATTAACCTTTTTATCTATGGCCTGCAGGATGAGACCCTCTTAGAACGCGTGAAACCTAAGGATTGAGAAAAGAGGCCATGCAATACAATTTTTAGTATGAGTAGCTGCAGGTAATTTAAAAATGTTAGTGTGAAACTATTCTGCTAACAAATCTATAGTGTATTTTCGTGTAGCTTATTCTTGTGCCGCATCTAAACAAAAAGTGGTTGCTATAGTGTCGTATTAGGGTCAAAAGTTTCAGTCTTAATCTACTCTATGCACAGCGCCCATTTTAATGGCGCATTTTATCCCGGTAGTGTTGTGTATATCAATAGTATAGGTCAAATCCTCGTAAAAAACGAGAACTTACTGCCAGATCATAGCTTAGACTAGAGTAACCTCGACTAAATATTATACAGCTTGCTGCACAAGAGACAAGATATGTACATCCATCAATATAAATAGTAAAAGTCTTGTTAATAAATACGAATGACTTCTCGACCACTTCGCTTTGCCCCCGAAACTCTCGATTCAATGATAGATAGGTCTAAAGCTTAAAAGGCGCTTTGTCAAATGGCGTAGATCGTAACTCGATCAATGATGGCCTTGAACTGAATCAGTGATATTATGTGAAATCAGTGAAACTGCGACATAACTGTCGCAGTTAGTACACATGCCAAAACAATGTACGTTGTATAGAAAGCCAGCCCTTCCTGCGCGTTTCTTAGTGTCAAAATTTTCACACCTTCCAATGAACCAAGTTCAACCAACAAGGAATACAAGGCTAAGTTACCGTGATGATATATGCAATTTAGCTTTTCGATTCGAGGTCTAGCGAGCATTGAACAAACAATTAACTGAGAAGAACAAACATATCTTGACCACAAAGTTAGTGCGAATGAATTGCCCTAACCTTCAACAAAATACAAGACCGTGCGGATAAGTGAAATTTATTCTACTGCGGATTTATGGTAGTTCTGTACCGGTTTCCCATGACCATTTCTGTTAGATACATTTTCACATTTACATTTACATTGATAGAGACATTTTCTGTTAGAATTGTGTGTGTCCCGATGATAACCTACTGCGTCACTTGTTCGCCTGCAAAATTTAGCAAGATGGAGTAGTTTAGGTCCGAATCCGGGTTTCGCGCTAGGAGCTAGCTATCTGAAATAATATCTAAAAAAGGGCTGTTGGGCATAAAACTCGAAAACAAAAAAAAAGGTAAATTTGATCCATCACAATTTCACGTGCGCCGTGTTTTTTTTTGAAGTTAGTGGTAAACACTGGCTTTATTATAAAGTTGAATTATGTTTTTATGATTCGTTCACTAAGTGAACACGAATCTTTTCAACTGCTTTTAGCAGCTTTTAAATGAATCATCGGTTTTTCTAAAAATATGTTTTTATCTTCAGGTTAGTTGTGGCAGGCCAAACATTTATTAGGCTTAGAAGTAATGGTTTCCTTTTATGTTTGCAGAAAAAGATGTTCCGAAATGCCTAATTTGCTTGTGGAAGGACAGAGTATGCAGTCCATCGTTGCCGTTGAAAGCCTTTGCATAAGGGTAAGTAGTATCAATAAAATTGTAATGTGATGCACTTATGCATAAAATCAGTTATTCCGTGTTATATTTGGTGTAACTATTGTTACTGCGCTATGTTCACATAAACAAAGGAAAAGAAAGAGAATCGCTAGCACCAAAAAGCCTAAATACATTTTCCAGCTAATAACTGTGTGTGTATGGTTTGAACATCGCAGAACGAAGACAACAACTCGGGTAGGATGGTAATTGCTTCAGTGGAATCATTGGCGGCAGATGTGCCACGAGCGGACGGCATCAAGGTGAAATCCGCAGGTCAGAATGGCAACAAGACTGGTCACGATAGTCAGACAGGGAGAAGGCGTAATACCCCTGCTCAGAGTCATGCGTTTTCTGGCCCTGCAGCCAAAGGAAATAGGGTGTGGCTAGCAGAAGTGATTGAGCTTTCGGATAGCGATGATGAAGTGTGTGTAACCAAAGTTGAAGCTCCCAAAGTAGCAAAACCAAGTCATCCTATCCCAAAATTATCCAACACAGACTCAAACTTAAGTTTGCAATCGCCAGTGATTCGCACGAATTCATGCCGTCCAGTGCCAACTGCGGTAAGGGGAGCATCACGCCCTGTAGCTAGCACACCTGCCACTACAGCTGCTCTGAACGATTCGATTCAGATACAACCCAAGGTGCGCCCACCAATACCTCCTAACACAAGTTGCGGAGTTCGTCCTGGACTCATGCCTCGATCGGGAGCAGGTATGGAAATCGTTTATCGAAATTTCTTTTCGCCGTCAGAAATTCGGGCTTCGCACTCTCGGGCGTCCGTGGCAAGCGCATCGTATTCTGGGCGCCGCGGTCGGCCTCCGTTAGCGCGTGCAGCATCTCTCCTACACAGTATCATCACTCAGTCTACACAAACAATGACCAAAAACGCGAACGTGCAAAATGGTAGAGCTTTACATGTTCTTAATGGTGGCCACGTTCAAACCGAGCGCCCGGGATCTAATCCAAGAACTATTTCTGCACCTGTTGTCCTCGCAGATGGTAAAGTGAGACAGACTCGACCGTGTATCATACAATCCCCTGCCCAGGTTGAGCGTACTGCACCTCGACCACGAGTTGCACTGCCTGACTCCTCAGTGCCAAGGTATCCAACAACACCAACTAGTCTTCGAAGCGGAAGGTATACGCCGTATATGGATAGCCCTGCAAACGTGATACACGTATCCAACAGCACATCACGTCCAATAGAAAATCCGGCATGCGTATCTGCTACAATACAGCAGAAGCCATATGCTGTACTGTCTTCAACAATGGATGCTTCGACACGTGGAAAACCACCCCGCATCACTGTACAAGTATGCTACATTTGTGATATTTATTTGAGCCAGTAATTCAATACACAACTGTTAAAACCTGGTCTTTTTTAGAACATTGGTCTTAGTACCTATGTGGCCGACCGGAACGAGAAGAAGTCTCAGAGCTCTGTACTGTAAAATCATATCCGTTCTAGATATATTTTATTTACCGGAATTTTTCAATAGTCAGATTAGTCATTAATGACCTATTTAGTAAAAGTCAAAGCCTCATTTCTTCATCCAGGGCAACCACCCCTCTATTAACCTTAGTGCAAATTTTTTTGCCTTATAGCCTTCTTTTCATTTGCTTGACGCTATGTGGTATTCATCACTACGAAGACAAATTCAGTTATATAATTATTTTACCACAGCGCTTTTTATAATCGTTTACGGCATTCGTTCCGTTGAAACTAGAAATTCCTAGTTGAAACCCGACGGAGTTTTGCATAAGCTGTTCTTATAAGAGTTGTTGTTAGTTAGCAAAGTATTGGGTATGCATACATTTTTCTCGTATATGAATTATATGGAACTAGTGCTATCGAACGTTGCGTTAGTTAGTGTTCGAACGTACTCTATTACTTACTACGTGAGGATGCTTTACCCGCTTTATGTTCGTGTTGAGATAATACGCTTGGAGTCCACAGGACAGGTACGACATGCACGAACTCGGCATGTTACTAGATTGTAATGCTTTTCACTTACTCATTGTCGTATACGAGCGTCCTTCTGTATCTACCATTCACGAGCGACTGCTTCGTCAGGATCGCTGTTGCCTTTTCCACCGCTGCTTTCTCTTTCACAGTCTTTTTTCCTAATCATCTCCTCTCACAAAAGACCATTTCATATGTACCTCTCTCGCCGTCTCGCGAGATACAATGCGTTTACGCGTGTATGCACTGATCTCTATCAGATGGGCATCGCCTTAGACATTGAAGAAGTACTGGTTCTAGCACGTGTCGTTAACGTAAACGGCCCAATCAGTTTACTACACTATTGAACTTGGTCTAGCTTCAAAATCTGATCTAGCACACAGTCTTGTTCTAACTGGAAGCTAGCGTAAGTTCCCGACGTATAATTCTGAACATTTATACTACCGATTCAGTCCACAGATGCATACGTTTCACGTAATATCTTCCAGTGATCACTCGACGGATCTAAAAATAGGCAATCAAGATTTTACCTGCGCCGAAAAGTACAGCGGTAAACAGCTTTCCGGTCCTGGTTACTAATGGGGGCCCTACATTTCAAGATATCCTTTCCAATACGAAAATGTAACAATAAATAAGATTTCATAATTGATCACGAATCTGCATAAAACACATTTTTACGATTTTTCGTAATTCAGATTTCTGTCACTAGCCGAGATGCGAGCTAGTATTAGGTCCCAAGTAAATAAATGCATTATTTAATTATTTCATACCTGAATACTCAATTAAAATAAAACGCTCGCTTTTAACAGATTTTCTGGAGCCCCACTGTTTCATAACCCGCATCTTCCCGATATTAAACAATGATTCGATCGTTTTGCGCGTGGTCCAACGTCGAGTATGGGATTTTCTAAATTTGTCGAACCCAGTACTTTATGTCACAAAATTAAATTACAATATACACTCCTAGGCTCGATTTCACTCCATAGTTATAAAAATGTTCTACTACAGTGTCAAGCGTTCAATAATCTGATTATCGGACCATCTGGCCCTCTGTAGGTGTCTGTCCAGAAGCAACGCAGCTGAATATTTTTTGAAGAGGAAGATCGCCTCTCCATTCAATGAATACCCTTAACCTTAACGTTTTTTTATACCACAAATATTTCTATATAATAATAATAATTTGCTAACGTGACGTCCTGATAAACGATTCGTCTCTATCGCCGCATTTAAGTAACATCTGAACATCGCGAATGAACAGCTGTTAAAATACGGTTAGAGCTATTATTTTCGGAGCCGCTTTTGGGTTACTTGCAATGATCCTTTCGGTAGGTATTTTACTCAGCAAAAAATGAGAGTCCATTATAATGATTGATTATCCTAGACATTATAACACAACAAGCAACAGCGTTACGTTTGCGTCCAGAGATTTTCTAACTCCGAAAACATCTTTAACTTGAACTTTAAAAACATCTTTAAAATGAACGCGGCTGTTTAAAAACTATACAGAAAAGCAATGGTATTTTCAATACTGTCCAGATCGCTCGCTTACTTTTGGCGCAATAGAGAATTAATATTTTTTATGCAGTCCTTCAAGATGGGTACGTTTTTATAAAGCAAGTCAATGTGCAATGTTCTTGAACAGCGTGTGAAGTGTACTGTCAAAATTTATTGATTTCAGAGTCCGCGAAAGGCTTCAGGCATCTCGAATCGATCCGGCACTCTAATAACGCATCGTCGAGTCACTAAAAAAGAAGTTAAAAACTTACATTTGGATCAAATTGACGCACTCGTCATGAGGTAGATGTGTTATCGCTTCGTTATATATAGTACGAATGTAGTGTTAAACTATAATAGTATGCCTAAAAACACAAGGATATATTTTTCAAATCTATAATTTTTCAAGGGGACTTCATTATTCGACCGAGAAAAAAACGAAATGTCGCGGTTAAACGGACAGAGGACGCAAATAACAGCTTTGGTTTATAAATCGAAAGCATCCTTTTTTGTTAATAGGTGCACCATGATGTGTTAAATAAGTTGAATAAAGGCCAGCAGTTTGGCAAATAATCTTCAAAGAGGTATCTAACTCATCAGTGACAATTTAAATGAATATGCAATTTGTCTTTTTAGGTACGGGAGTGTCGTACTGAAAGAAATAACATTAGATGAGATCGTCGCCAAAGGTATGGGTGAGTGGAAAATACCCAAGAATATTAAGATAACTCCACGTCGGTTTCCGCCGCGACAGTTCAAAGCTCCAGTCGCTTTAGCTGATCAAATTGTGGTAAGTTCCTTATCAAATAGACATGAACTTACCATGAATTATTATTATGTTTCGGGTGAGAAGCTATATTTTTGTTGCTTAACTGGATTAAAGGTCGTCGTATCTCTGAAATAACCAGGGCATTTAATTTACCTTTTGACCTGTAAGCAGTCGGACGGCGCCACAAGACTTTGTGAACTCCATTTGGAGAAACAGCGATGAGCCTGATGTAAATATGGTCCCCATTGTTAATAATCATCACATTAGATTTAAGTGCCGATGTTCTCAGGACCTTGATACTCGGATGTTACATTTCTTCAAGAGAATGCGGATCAACCTACAAGCTTTCAAAGGAAATTCATTCTAGACTCGTCACAGCGAACTTTGCGATGATTTATAAGATTCACGGATTAAGGATATAAACTTTCGGGTCTTATTCTACTTCACTAAATTGGAATATCTTGTATAAAATATACGCGCAAAAGTAATAGTAACGTAGTTATTACTTAAATGTGGTTTCTTTGCGGAATGCGTTGTCTTTCTTTCTGCGCGCCACTGGTCTTCTTACTAAAGCAGTTGCAAGACAAAATTTACAGTTGCAGACTTTTTTCTTATAGGGGTAAATAAAAATCTTCGATACTGGGAGATACCCCATCCGTATGACGTGGTAATTATCGAAATGTATTAGCTATGAAACGTTTATGTTTATTAGCTAGGCCAAATTTCCGCTAGCGTCTCTTAAAAGAAACATTATCATGCAAGATGCAAACGAACGCTCAAGAGTGCTTTTGCTTGGCTTTCGAGGAACTTTCTCTAAAATCAGCAATGGCCGTACATGTTAGCTATATAAAGGCGTTTAGCACGCTACACTACGATAATCGTATACTACTATCTATGCATAGCAAAAAAAAAGCTTGCTAGTTTTTTACTCGCTTCCTAATGGCTAAGCATGCTTTTACTATCCCCGTATCCTCCATCATTCAATATGATATTTATCTGTATCCTTAAAAATTTAAGAAACTTAAAAAAAAATTACAATGGTTCCCTTTCCAAACGACAGCTGTGTAAACAGTTTAGCAATCTATTTCAATCCACGGCTAAAAGGAACATTTGTTAATAGTACACTCTATATTAAAAAAAAAAATGAATGAAGGTCTATAAGGCATGTGCCGAACAAATTGCGTCTGAAATGAGTGACCGATGTCGTTGATGAGGTTGTTTATACTGTCTGAACATTGTATTGAACACAGGATACACTTCATTTGTCTAGCAGCAATAAAAAGGGCTGACTTATTACCATGAGTAATTCTTATCACACTGTAAATTTCTCGTTTGATTGACACGATGTCTTTAATTATGACGGCTCTTCTCCCTGACGAGCAGGCTATTTAAGCTTTTGAGCCCTTTTACAAGCGTTTTTCATTGATGCTTGTGTTGGGAGGACTTTCTTACGACATAAATGTAATAAAAAAATGCCTTGATTTACAGTAATAATCACAACATTTCCCTTAAATAACAACTGAAATCGACGATCGAAATTCATTCATCTGTTGACAAACAAGCGTTTTTAAATGAGTTTATTTATAGATTTGTATAATTTTCATTTTTATTGACACTTCGAGACTCGAAAGCAATTCACCATAGCAAAAAAGCTGGATATAATCGACATACATACTTCATACTTCTCCTATAGACACTAGCATGCACTTGCGAACATTTCATAGGAAATATCCTCGGATGATGACGACGACGACGACGACAATGATGCAAAATGGTCGCCAGTCAGAATTAAACGTGAAAAGGTTCGTTAATGTTCTGCCACTTCACTTGATGAAAAAAAATCAATTAAATTTGTCAGTCCTATTAGAGTAGTTTGTATCTAATTACAGTGTGTACATTGTTTAATATGCAAACAATCTTATCAAGGCCTAACAGAAATTTTTTTGCAGAACGTATTTTATTTTCTCTACTAAGGGCTAAATCTCTCTGATCTTCCTGTTTACAGGCGGACTCAGACGGGTCAATGTGTCCTGGATCAATAAAGCCCCAAGTTAGTGAGACAGCAGCGCCAAAAGAGCGATTGATGGCTGGGCTTGGTTTAGTATCAAAACCTGAAGCGAACCGACTGCGAACAGTTAGACCCTTGAAGAAGGATATTGTAGCTGTTCTCAAGGATCGGCGAACGATTAAGAGGTTGATTTCCTTATTTGAAGTAATATTGCGTACTCAGATAGACAAGCAGTTAATGGTGTGCCTATGCCATTAACCTCTGTCCTGGTTAAAGCGAATGCTATGCAAGCCCAGGGAAAGTAGAAGATGTCTGTGCAACGAGAGTCAATCGCAGAGAAATTGAGACAAAGATTTTCGAGCATCTGTTTCTATGTTGCCAAAGGATGACTTGGATGTAAAGAAGCTACCAATGAACTGAGCTTGCTCAGAACAATTCCAGGTAATATGAACGCCAAACATCTTGCAGAAGGAGCTAATTGCGTTAATGAACGAGCAGAAAAGCTGCTAGATCTTATTTGGATATTGAACCAATAAGTCATGAAATTGCGTTTGGGTTTCGATGAGCAACCGAAGGTCCTTCCATTACATTCTCTGACCATGTTACATGCGCGCTTATGCCAACATTGGGCAGATATAGAGCTTGAAACGGGTTGCCGATTTGTAGAAGTATCTAAGCGAAACACATGAGGACGATCGTTGCAAGCGACAGAACGTTTTAAGATCGGCTGTACGAACAGAACAAAGAGCAACCACTAAAGCTAGATTACTGCTTGTGACTACCGGTCACGATTTCCAGTGAACCTATTTGATGCACGCAGTAACGGAGCACGCATATACTGAATGAAACTCGGACCCGTCACGGAGTCCTCGCAGATTTTGTCGTCTTGAGACTAAAAAAAAAAGGTAGAATAAAATAGAAAAAGGTAGAAAGTTGGGACAATAGTATACGTCTTTCATCGATAGGTGAAAAGTTCCAAAAAAAGAATTCGGCATAGCATAAGCTTCTACAGTATTAAAGCGAGCTGTACGGAAGCTTTTAGGTGAGCTATTACAATGCATGAGTAAGTCGAACGTAGACCAAGTCAATCTCAATGCTAAATGTTATCACGGGCAGACAAGAGGCCGGAATCGTAGTGTGCCTCTAAGCAACAAAAACCTAATCTTGCGTTAAGAATTGAGGATCTTGACAGAAGGGCAGGGCTGAGCTAACTGTCAAACAAGCAGTTGCAATCGTTACCTAAGGCAAGGCAAGCGACTTTAGTATAGAAAACCGAATGGTATTTGGATAGGACGAATTCCCAAATGAATGGAAGGTGAAGCTGTACTGTTTTCCAAATCCATAACAGATTTGCTCTTCGGTTTCATCGCATGATTGTCAAGACATCACACGCAGACATGGCTCTGAAGAGAATGGAAACAGGTGTTGGAAATGGAATAATTGGCATGCTTATAAGCAACTTCGGTTGGTACAAGACAATCTTCTAGGTCTCATAGGTGATGTTATTAGGTTAAAAATGGGCACATTTTCCAGTTTTTTTGGAAACATAAGGGATATAGAATTTTTCAAGTCATTTGGTTGAAAAACAGCTCTGGTGAATTTCCATATGACTAAGAATGAGAAGTGCTACGAACTTTAGAAGTGTGACTAAGCAGAAGGTTAAAAGAAGTCCTTAGAAAGGAATACTTTCCCTAACATTGCTCGTGATATATATTACATATGTGAGCAAAATGAACCAACGAGGCTTTAGGCTTTGCCCTAACAGCGATGCACTGTGAGTTAGTAACTGGGGCAGCGGTCAATCGAGTCGACGCTGTACATGGACGGGAGTCATTGAGGTCCAAAGCTGGGTAATTGGCTGAGCAAAGCCTGATAGAGAACCAACATAGCCTGGCTTGTAAGTAACCCATTGTTGTTAGTCTCTTAAGCATGACCGCTATTATTTTCGTCCTTGATGAGTGTAGTGTGATGCCTTTCAATTCAGATGAGAGTAGTGCTTAAAAAGCACTATATCACATGTGAGCAATTTCGAATTTTAGCTGTATTTACCAAAGGATTAGATTTGGTAGCGGTTAAGAAGCGAAAGCAGCTATAAGCTAAAGGTTGCTGATCTCGATTGAGCCTGTGGTGGACATCATAGGCATTGGCTTGAGAATGATGCTATGCGAAACCGTAAGAAAAAAGGACATGGACACCAGGGCTTACATTTACCGAGTTCTACCCCTGGACAATTGCTGATAGCAATAAGATAACTTCATTAACTGATGGGTCTTTCAAGACGGCGCAGGTGTATACTGATTAAACGATAACTAGACCACAATTGTTGAAATAGAGTTGCAGATAATTTCGGGCGAAGCTGGTGGCCACCCGCGAAGGGTGCTGCTAAGCGAAGTTTGCCGATCAATAGTTTAGCCCACAGATTAAATCATAGCACGCTGTTAACAGGCGGCTTTAGACTGAAGTTAGTCTGCTACTACAGTAGCTTGCGTGGGAGACCCTAGAAATCAGAAAGATTGCAGGCTCATCAAAGTCGGTCTTCAGAAGAAGATATGCACGAAAACATTATCGATCATAGTGCCATCACAAAGAGATGGGCGTCAAATATATGGGTGTGCTGTGTAGCATGTAAATTACCAGAACTAATACTTAGAATGGCGTTGCTTACAAAAATCTTGACTGTTATTTAGGCGCACACAGGTGAAAACATTAATGCACCGGAGAATGCACCAGAAATGGTCCATCGATTAAGTGGTGGAAATGCACTAATCCAGTATGCTACTTTATATACATAGAAACCATATCAAATAACACGTAATGATGGTGTCAAACTTACATACCCTGTAGAAGCATGGGAATCAAAAGGTAAATCAGGGTACATTATTAGAGCAATAGATTTTTTGAAACGAAAACATTTTCAATCAAATTGTCATATGGGTCAACAAGGTGCGCTTAGTTTCAAAACTTCTATACGTGTACATTTCTGTTGATGTGCAATCTGTTTACATGCAATGAGTGTGAGACCTCTGATGTAAGATTTCACACTCCGATATGAATGAAAGAAATAGAAGGCCATACCCACAGTGGGCTGATTTGTGGGCACTTGTAATCCTTCCATCGAAATTTCTTGGACAGCACACAACGGCCTACACGGGCCAGTTTTGCGGGAATCTCATAAAAGATGCTCGTTTGTGTCATGCGCTTCTCTGTTGGGGCTCATTATTGGATGTTTCTGGCTGTCTTTTTACAGGTATATTACATGTCCGTTAGTCTCTATTGTGAAGGCGGACTGTATTTATAAATACGTTTTAGCCAAACGTATAATGAGACCCCAGGCTTTCCGTTGCACGCGTCAGGAGCCTAACAGAACCACAAAGCAGAAGAAGCGGCGTAGCAAATCGACATTTTTAACTAAGCTCAGAAAGAAAGCAAAACCAGATGTAAGGGTGGAATCCGCGGTGAAAAATGAGGTAATGTTAGCCGAAATACTTACCAGTTTAATTTTTTTTCCAGAAAAGTTTTCCATGTATAATTCCAAAATCATGTAATTTTAGATTAGGTTAGAGGGAGAAACGGAAAAATATGCATCTCCAAGAGCCTTTATTTAATTTTCATTGTATGGTCATCGTTCGGAAAACTATCTGTGAATCGTTCTTCTGAAGATCGAACAGGTTGCCGAAATCTAATTTAACACACTTTTCAGTTAATATCGGCGAATTCGGTTGTTAGCGATGGGGGCAGTGATACCGAGATAGACGCAGATTTCAATCAGACGTCACCTTTACCACAGCTGAGTGCGTATTATTGTTATAAAAATATTGTGAGCATTATTTTCAATGAAACGTCAAAGCACTTGCTTAGAGCGTGTGGTTACTGCGAAGCACTGCATCGACGTAACGGAATACTATGATGTGATAGCTGAAGTTGTCGGGTGGGAATCACCGCTTATGAATGTCTACGTTTTCTGTTTTCGTTTTCTTTTCAGGATCATCCGAATCACTATCTAAGGCAGATATACATGCGATGTCTAATATCAACAACAGGGCAGAACTCCAAAAGGTAACTAGAACGTCATACTTTTTTTGAATTCATGCTTTTCAAATACGCTTGCAGTATTGCAACTACCAGATTATTGTCTCTATTGAGGTTCTACACTATAACGGTTAAACTAAGCAAACTCGTGCATTACAAATCCCCTGTCTCAGTCAACTGCAGAATGAGTAGCACGTGATGACGGAGAAAACCATAACTTCGAAGTCCTCTGTGTCTGTCAGGTATACGCTTCTTTCTCTGCTTGTGTAAGGGGTCAAACGATGCTATTACTTGCAGTGTGAAAAACACTGGGCATGCGATGATTTGCCATGCTTTATATGAAAGTATAGCCTGTTCATAAAAGCTTATAAATTTTGTTTTATGTAATAAAAACAATAGATTCAAAAAAAACCAGCTGTTTATTAGTAATTTTGAATCGATCAGAGTCTCTCCGGAACGACAAAGATACGAAGTCGGCAAACCCTGCTATTAAACGGTTTCTAAAAAGTATCAGAAGCACTTGTGTACGCCAAAGTGTGAATTAGGTCTGGAAATTAGCAGACATATTTAAACGCATCAATACTGTTTTGCTCCTAGTCACTTGTAGAAAGTTACCTGCGCATTGATAAGAGTCATTCTTCAAATCAACTTGAATGGTTTAAGTTCTGAATCGAAGCAGATGACGGCTAGGTTGAATAAGTACATCTGTCAAGGGTGCTGCTGTCTGTACACGAACATTTTATTCAAGCCTATATTTTCAGCCATATACAGCCTATAAAGAAGTGATATCGAATTAGTTAAGATTTAGAATTCCCACCCCATAGAAATAATCGTTAACAATTCAGACTAGAGTAAATTACGGTCAGCAACGTATTTCGAATTGCTCTTGTTACAGGTCATAGCTAATTCCGAGGCGGCGTGTATATGGACGTCCTTCAGCACAGCACAGGCACAGAACAACACCTGGTGTCCTATCGTGATCCTTCGAAAAATCAATATTGACCATATGAACACCATTGAAAAGTGTAACGCGCTGGTGCGTCCCACAAATTCACAGGAAAAGAGAAGCTTTCAAGGTCTGTAGATGCCTTTTTAACATGTATGGTTATTTTACTTCTAATCAAAAATATGCACCATTATTATTCCCCGTTATTTGGACAATGGCTTATTTGTTCCGCTGCTGTGGGAATCTGGGTTACGGGAATCGAAATTGCCTGTGTGTCGTCACGTCAAAATTTTATCAATTTTTGTTTCAAGAACCAGTGAAGATTTGGGTAATCTGTGAGAGTAATGTCTGGTGAATATGGTAAATGACTGAGAGTTTTCAGTTGCAACGTTTCCACTGTTGTCGCTCTCATGATTACGGTGGGAAGTCGAGCGCGATTACGCAATAGAAGTAGCTCATCTCTATCAAACTAATCTTGCTTGTTTCAGTTACTGATATTACATTTTCGGTATGAATCGGAACTTAAAAATGTTCAACTTAAAAAAGAAGAATAGCATGCGTCTCTATGCCTCTACATTCAACACCGAGTTAAATCATGTGGCACGAATTTGTCTCAGTTCTTTTACCTTCTTAATCTAATAGAGATGGAGGGTTATACTATGATTCAGCTTTGCATCGGGGACTCCACGGGAGTCTATTTTTTTGGAAACCGTAGTAGTGATTTTTCACTGAATACGACGTTGCAGGAAGATATTCGTACTTGTGAACCGTTTGATTCTCCGATTTCCCTTGGCTCATTGCAACCTAGCGGTTAATAACTCGAGTAAGAGCATTTTATACTGAACCATTTATTACACACACACATACATACAAACATATATAACGACAAGGAGCCTATAGTTGAGAATACTATCAAAAATAAGTTTAAAAAAGGCACTTTTATCTAAAGAATAAACACCACTTAAATTCCCAGAACACCAATTTAAGTCGGTTTTGATGGGCAATACTTGCAAGATAAGCCTACATCTCTTAATACTATAGGCCTTACTAAGTACGCTGAACAAATACTTTGGGTTGTATCGTCAGTCCTTGACACTGAAAAAATTTAAGTTAAAGCTAGAATCGAAAATGCTACGTTCTGCAACTTGAGACATCGGTCTTTGGGATCCGGAGCAGGTATTCTAGACATACCTTTATTTTGCCGTTCTATTTACAGGTGCGCGCCCCATGGAAAGGCGGTGTTGTCATTGCCGGTTCAGTTGTCTAAATATGACGAGCCTCCGAGAACATTTCTGGGACTCCCATGGCATCAAGCTGTCCGACTGAGCTGGATCACATCCGTAGAGAAGAATAAACCACTGATACTGCGCGGTTCGACGACGAAAACACTGTTTAGCCCGCTGTTTCCTTCAAAGAAGAGTAACTTGCTCAATACTTTAGAGCCACATATCTCTTTGTTTGCCATGCTACAATGCCGTGGCACAAAAAACTATTCATGAAGGCTAACCGAGGTTCGAAGCAATGTTTCGAAGCCTCAAACTTGCACAGTATGAGATTAATTATTCTGAAACATGAAATGTTGAATTTGTATATAAGATAGTTACAAAAGTGACAATGCCATATTCGCTTCGACACAAGTTACAATGTGATAGAGTCATGATATGTATATATGAATGTACAAAATAAATTGTCTATAGATGATAAATGTTAGATATGTACTCGAAACTAAATACTTTTAATAATCTATTCCATTAGTATTTGGTTTTCACTTGTACTTCTGCTGACTTAACTAGCACCTCCCGTTGAGGGCAGCAAGACACTGTCATGCTCAGCAATCATTTGGTTATAAGGTAATGGGATGTACGTCGGGGAATTGTTGCATGAAGAACGCAGACTATCAGGACATATGTTGAACGTATAAACCGTCTATAACCAGACGTTGCCGTGATGGCATAGTGGGTAACATATGAACCTGCTAACCTTAGGGACAGTAGGATGGTCCAGCTTCGAACCCGGTACACCTAGTTTCGTGCTGGGAGCCATGTAATGCCTAACGGCGATACTAGACGTAACACTTGAGACATAGAGATATCTAGAAGATTATTTATTTTACTTATTTTGACAGAAGAACATATATTTTAGATAGTACTGCAAAACGAAAAGAACGCCTAAGCATCACAAGGGTTTATTGTAAGCAGTCTGAAAAAACCGTACCTCTGTTTTCCGTTGTAGATTTGCTTCGGCTTATGTTTTCTGACGGAGTTGACTATATATGTACGTAACGAAATTGCTGCATAAAGTTTCGGGCAGCGTAAGCTCAAGTTCTTGTTCTTGCGATTCTGCATGTACATGAATGAGAATGTTACATAGGAAAGGTGGCCGTCCGGCTTCGCGGTTGTCGATGTCGAAGGGCGTGATTGCCACGTATCAAATAAATGGTTCTATTTACCAAATTAGAATATTAACGTATATTCATGATGCGGTGACCAAGTGTATCACGTCCAGATAATTGCGTATACTTCTAATCGAGAGTATGTGGTCTATATAAGCTAGAGGTTTGAGGAAAGGGGTTCCGCTTCGTTAATTTCGAAAAACGGCAACTTTCGTACCGGAATGCGTTCAGCTAGAAAACTGTTTCATCATTATACCTATAACACATTTCTCTGGAAGTGATACCGTAAAAATTTAAGCAGAATTCAAATTCCACAATCAAGACCCGAACGAAAAATTCGAACGTACCACAAAAGACATTCGGAACGTGCGTACCTATACTAAAACCTTTCATTCAGCTCGTTAATTTGGTGTTTCATGTTGGAAGTGGCCGCTTGCCGCCTAAAGCCGACCTGCTGAACTAAAACAGTAGCACTAGACCTTAAATATTTAGTACCTTGCACCTAAAACAATGGCCTTGAATACATGGTGTGCTTTGGTCCAAAAAAAGGATAACAAGGAAAGCATAAATTTGCTTTCCGCTTTAGCAGCACATCAGTTTTCGTTCGTAATTTCCGATTGAGCATTTCTTGGCGCTGCAACGTAACTAGCTTAATTCACCTTTTACTGTCAGTGAGTGCCAATTAATTCCGTACTATAGAATTAATCATTTCAAATGAAAAAGAAGGTACTGATCAGCAGTCGCAGGAAGGACGTTGCCTTCATCTGTGTGGAAAAGACCAGAGGAGGACCGGTGGATGGAAGCTCAACTGGCACCAGTGTTTACGTATCATGCGACGACCGCTAATACCTGTTATTTCGTGTAGGTCGTACTGCGGGCCCACAACCAATAGGCTCGCTGTTGTTGAACGGACACCCGTGTGGTTCATCGCATCAAAAATTTACCTTTCAAGCCACACGTAGTACACGTTCGTTTAACGGACAGCTACTACCTCAGCAATGGTAGACATTAGGATCAAAAATAGAATCTTTCCATTTCTCATATTATTAAGTTAGTCTTAAGATCCCACAGATGGTTCAACCGGAATAAGTTTTGCAACCGCATCTTTGTTGGAATCGTCGTTTGGTCTTAGTCCACGACAAGTGACGCATCCGGATAAGTAGTATAGATAGTAGCAGTCTTTTTACGTTGTCATGAGACGATTTCTAATTGACGGAATCAATCTGTGATTTGTTGACTTCAGTAGAAGCAGGTAATGGGTTATTGAATAACTATATGGATTGAACTATGATGGTGTCTTCTAATATTTAACGGCTTGCAGTTGCTTTGGATAATTTGACTGTGTACTTCTTTCGAACATGTCTTTGCAAAAACATTATAGTGCTGCCCTTCATATCGCTGATGCGAGGAAGGGGAAGAATTAGCGTCGTTAATATCCGTACACAGGGGTAATTCGTATGTCGTAGTCCTCTAAATTATTTAGTTTGATGTATATTAAGTCCGCACGGGAGAAGGCTGACCGTTCACCTATTGTTTTTCTATGCTGCAGCACTCATAGACATCGAAGGGCCCACAGGGTTCCATGACGTGAAAATCATCAGCGTTAGCATTTTTTGTTTGGGCTGGCGAGGCTCACTTTGACAGTAGTTCGTTCGTGAACCACACATCCCCCAGGCAACAGTAAGGCCAGCAACAGTAATGTCGGGCATACTTCCCCTGCAAACTAGCGCCGCTAAATAACAAGGAGAACCATACGGACGACGAACGATTGCATACGACGTGTAGCTAAAAGCGTTCTATCTACCTTTAATTTACCTCGATTTTTATCGCTCTCATAAACCATCTTAGCTAGAACAGAGCCCAAACCAGCTAAACCGGACCCCGTCGAGATCATACCTGCAAAATAGAACTCTGTGCCCCATCTGTGTGGTACGACTTCATACGTCTCACAACGCGGCTACTGAATTACATAGTAGTCGTTGTAGCCCTTCATTAGTTGTGCAGGAGTGGCTTTATCGAGCTCTTAGTAATGATGCGCTAGAATCGGCTCGAACACAACGTATCTGCTTCAAACGTTCAAACCGAATCATTCGGATACAATCATGAATAGGAGTTGATGTATATGAAAACGATTTTCTTCTTCTGTTTATTAATATTGATCTTGTTTAGCCTATTAAACACTTTCAGCGACTCTAAACAGAACTCTAATATCTACTTTGGAACCTCCTCGAAAGAAAGTTTCTATCTTAGCTCATATGACCTCATGTAATTCTCTAAGATCCGACAGTTGGAGCATACATTTTCCACTGTCAGTACTGGCACGGAAATCTTTTCCGCATAGGAAGCTACGAAAAAAAAACTTGTTTATCATTAAGGTCGTGTCAAAATACTCTCCGGATCCCACTCATCTCTTTAGGACGATCCGTCGAAATTCTGATCATCATGAATACTCGTTCGGCTGCATTCCAGTTTAGAAATTCAGCGATAAAGCGCCGAGGTACGCAAAAAATCCGCTTCCACTTTGATGTCCTAAGCCTTTTAATGCTTCAAATAAGGGGCCTAACGATGACATGAACCTCTTGTTCGAAGCCACACTCGACTTGCATTTCATATTCGAGCTTTAGAGGCTTAAAGAGTTAATGGATTCGCCAGAAATTTCAGCACGGACTTTACACGCGATTAAAAAAAGGCGAAAATAAACTAACCCTTTTTACCTCCAACGAGGTTACGCAGCAAGGCCGAGTGCTCTAGACCTAGCTTTTTGGGCCGAGTACAATTTGTTGAGACACATAGATATTATTGCACTAAGTGAAACATAACATTATACGTACTGGAAAATTGGCCTTTTTCAAAGAGAGTACTATACACTGCTTTAGTCGGCCGACCCAGGAGGTGGCGTCCACGTATTACTAACAGCAACGTACATGCATTAATATTTTTCTCAGATATATTATATATTTTGATATGTGATGCGTATTATAATGTTTAAAAAATTGGAAGTAAACTTCAGTTGTCCCGGCAGATGTATTGTTATTAGAATTCTAAAAGCCGAACGCGACCTCAGCTGTTGGATTGTTACGTTGCTAATGCTAGGAAGCCAAACGCCCAAATTGAATACCTCTGCTGTAGTAAATTGTAGGGTTGACGCCGCCACCGCAGTTGTTTGTGATTCAAATTTATCAAAATAAACAGCTTGTAAAAAAATATCTGTCCCGATTGCGGCGCTTAAAATCCTCACTTGTTGCAGGCTCATCGTTTCTTGGAGCCATTCCTGATCTCTCTCTCTCTCTCTCTCTCTCTCTCTCTCTCTGCCGCTGTTGGAGTCTTTGCTCTTGAGATTTTAGAACAGTAATACTATTTGCGCCGTGTACTTACGGATTACATTCATCTCACTGAATTTTGAGAAACTATAGTAAAAGATAAACCTCGAAAATTAGGCGCCCAACATGGTATTATTGATGGAAAATTTGTTCCTTCGTAAGTACTAATAGTTCCATACTTAGGTATGTAGACTGCTGTCCGAATTTTGTAAAAACAGTTACTATTGCTGCTGGCCTAAAGTTTTTCTTGTGTAAAGGCTAGCACACTCCGATTATTTATAAACAATGTATATTTCTGGCGGAGAGTAAAATGGAGACGTAGAAACTGTATACTGCCCTTAAAGTTTTGTCCAAATAAGTCAAAAACATCGTTGTAGCTGGGAAAAAAAATTGTTTTTAACGGGACTAATTCTCTAGAGCATATACCCGAACGGAAATTGTTCGGTGATCTGCGGCCTACTTGAATAACTAAGTACCTGAAAGAAAATGCCATTTGACTTCTGCCTGAAATAGTAGCTTGAAGAAGCAGAGGATTCTGCTTGAATGACGATTACTTTCGTTCATATAACTGTGCAGCTCTTATCGACTAGAGAGAATACTTGTTGGAAATTTCGGGGGGTCGTCCTTTGCTGTGTGCTGAGAACCTGCTGGAAAAAAAAGTAACAGAAATAGAAATGAGTGCAAAAAAAAGACGGATACGTTTGAAAAAGTGTCATATATTTATTTTGTCGAATAAGTCTCCATCCGTACGGGATCGAAGTGAATAATACATAGGAAAAAATGAATTGGTACTGATTTTATGTCGGCATTAATCGAGCTAGGCGTCTGCCCGCTTGAACGTGTCAGATGCCTTTGATAGTTTCGTTTACAGATACATACAGTTACCAACACGCATATATTAGCGTAGAAACGTGTATTTGTATTTCGGGCTCCCGAAATAACGTTTCAGTTATAAACGTCGCTTTGTCTGCTATTGGTTTCAAGTAAGCGAAACTTCTAGTTTTCGATTCATAAAGATACAAGAGATGATTGTACTAATGGATACGATCAGTAGTGACGCTGATACGCCGGAAGGAGTTTCAGATGTTTTGGCATTGTCGATGATCCGTTTCCAGAGATACCATCGCAGCTCGATGGGCTATTTGCCAATTTTACAATGTGAAAGAGCTGCTCCTATTGCCGCTATATATTATTATGTAAAATTCTGTGTTTACGCATTATCTAAGTACTTAGTGAAATAGAAAAGACTGTGCACCATCTTAAAGTCGACCAAGCCTACAAGTGGGACAGATAGATTTTTAGAATTGCTCTAATGTCGGAAAGCTTGACTCGGAAATTCATGTAATTTCTTAATAATGAACTCATTTATTTTCTCTAAACCCCACAATAATAAACGTAATGAGGTGCGTTTAATATATTCATTCGGTACGATATGTATATGGGACTGATCTTTATTCGAATCAAGAACGTGAGCGAGAGTTGGCAGGGTCAACAAATAGATATAAAATGAAATATATATAAAAATAACAATATAAGGTGTCGTCTGCTTGTCTAGATTTTAAATCGGGCAACGAAAGAATCCAACGTGCAGTGCATAGAGGTTAACTAAAAAATAAGAAAGGTCGTACGCTGCTTGAAAATTTACACAGCTTGAACAACAAAGTTCAGACTCTAACGAACTACATATTA